TGGGACTCACTTGGTAGTCCAGGCTGGCCTCGAACTCACAGGGATCCGCCTGCCTCTGCCTCCCGAGTGCTGGGATTAAAGGCGTGCGCCACCACTGCCCGGCAAGAACAGTTTCTTGTCCAAATGGCTATTTTTTGCCAAGAAGATAAACTCCATATGGAGTGTCTTTGATGACCATCTTTCTCTTTGAAGTAAATCGGTGCTGCCAGGAGAAGACATATCTAAATGTCCAGAAAGTTTAAGTTTTTTAAAACATTTTAAATGCCATATTCTGTAGGTCTTTGAAGTGTTTGAAGATTACCTAACTAATTGAATTATATATGTATACCTAGAAAACTTAACATGACTATAAGTTTGACTATCATAGAAGACTAATTATTAATCTGTATTTCTTAGTTATCTGTTGAGTTACATAAACATAATTCCTTAAACTGGAGTAGAAATATATATAATAACAAAATCAACTCTAAATTTGTATCAATAAACTAAAATCTATAGCAATGTAAAACATTTTTAAACAAGTTGCTCTTTAAAAGTAGATTCAATAATCTACCCTTTCATCCTATCATATCTATATCCTATATTTCTGTATCATATCCTTCTGTCTTCTCTTAGAAAGAGATTGACTAAGACCAATAACAATTGTAACCAACAACCTAAACAAAGAAAAATATCCATAATCTATTTTTTTTTTTTTTGGAAAAGTGAATGTAGTTTTCTAGGCTACTTCCTGATGATAGAGGGCGTTGGTAATCTTATAGGGACACAAAGAATTTTAGGATTGTGGTCAAGTCCTGATGGAAGTAGTCTGTGACACTGTATTCTCTGAGCCAGTTGCCTTAAAGTTGATTTTGGATATTGGATGATATTGGATCTGGGCCATGATGTCATTGGAGACCTTTCAGGGGGTCTTGGCTGGTCAAACCTGATGTATCTTAATCTGGAACAAATCCATAGCCTCTTGTTTCTTGTGGAAGCAAAAGCAGAGACTCCTTTCCAAAGCAACATATCCTTAGATCCAAATTATGAAGTCAAGACACCTTTAAAATATATATGTCGATTTAACTCAGCTGTTTTTACAATAAAATGTCTCTTTGTAGTTAAAAATCCCAATGACAACACAATCCAGATTCTCTGTGTAATATCATCCATCTTTATGTGGCTTATTTTTTTTCTATTACCTTTACTGTCTCTTTAAAGACTTTATTTTTTAATACTTTCTATTTTTTATATAATGGTCTATATTCCTTTTCCTCTCTCTTTCAAGCCTATGTACATTTTTATACACATTGTAAACCATTCAGAGGTTTATTTAATCTGAATCTGTTTTATTGTGAATCTATTGCTTTAAACTGCAGCATTACTGGGACTGAAATGGCAGCTTTGGCTGCTAGCCCTGCCCACCTCAGCTTCCCAACATGAAAGAACTACATTTACAGCCAGCTCTGGGAACCAGGCTCACCGCTGGACTCTGGGAGCAGTGGGTCTATGCTTTTATCAAAGCAGCATGTAGCCCAAAAACCTTTTTTGTTTGTTTGTTGGTTGGTTGGTTGGTTGGTTGGTTTGTTTGTTTTTGGTCTGTACTAGCTAAAGCTAAATCCACCACACAGCATAATGTGTGGCTTGGAGATGCCTCTGTGTACTGGGCAGGAATCTGCCATGCTGCAGGTCAAGCCCGCACACCAGGAACCCACCATAGAGTAGCTCAAGCCCATAGGCTGCAGCTGGCCTGAGAGAGACAATTAGAAAGCTGTTTTCAGCTCTGTTTTAGAATATATTTTTTGTAAAGATTTCTCAGGTTTTAGGTGGAAACTCTTGTCCCATCTTGGGCGCCATTTGTAGCTAGAAGTTTTCCTGGGTCCCGCCCTTTCTGCAGCCACTTAGACCCAAGTAAACACACAGAGGATTATATTAATTATAATTGCATGGCCATGGCTCAAGCCTTTTGCTATCTAGCTTTTATATCTTAAATTAGCCCATAATTATTAATCTATGTATCACCACATGTTCTGTGGCTTTACCTGTGTCCCATTACATGTTGCTCCTTGGGTGGCTGGCTGGTGTCTCTTGACTCAGCCTTTCTCTGCTTATCCCACCTATACTTCCTGCCTGGCTACTGGCCAATCAGCCTTTTATTAAACCAGTGTACAGAAGCATTATCCCACAGCAAAATATAATATAATTAATATAATATATAATATATATATAATATAATTAATATAATATATTGTCTCAGTCCTTCTGCAGCCTAGGTTGGTCCTGAGACAGGGAAGGGGCATCAGTGTGAAGAAATGAAGTGTCTGACCACCAGATGAGTTTCACACAAGTGCCTGTCCCTAAATAGCTCCAGCCATCTTTATTTACACTTCAAAAACAAGTATGTTTTGCCCACCCTCCAGGACTAACCACTGGACAAAATAAATATGTTTTTTCCAAACCTTTACATCAAACAATTTTTGAACCTAAAACAACGCTCAGCATTTTGTTAATGTGGCTAAATATTGAACCAGGCACATCCTGTCCTTACAAAGCTAAAAGGTGATAGACATAGGCACATATTCTCAGGAACAACAATATCATTCAAAACTTAACAAAGAATATTTACAGAAATAGGGGTGACTTGCCATAAGCAGCTTGCATACAGTTAGCTTGTATTTCTTTAACTGTTCCCTTGTCCCACAGAAAGGTCCTGCACACCTGGGCCTCTCTATAAGAAACCTGAGAACCATCAGTTCCCTCCCAAAGAATTTTAGGGGAAAATTTTAAGAAAAAAATGGGGTTTCCAGGAATGATCACACCAGTCCTGTGTGTGACTGACAAAGTGAAACTAAGAACTGCCAAGAGAGTCCCCAACATTATGAGAGAGAAAAGAACATGCTGGCTGCATGGCCCCAGCAGAGTTCTGAGCTGTCCTGAGCTCCACTGGTTCTTGCCAGGTGAGAGATCATCTCCACAGGCCTTGCCTCGTGGAGAACAGCTGGACAGGTGTTCATATGCTAATCCAAAACTAGACCACCTGGCTCCCAGCATCCATCATATCATATCATGTGCGCTAACGGGAAAGTGGCTGCCTTCCCTGAGCCATGCCTGTGCTGTCCATCTCTCTATAAGACCTTCCCACCCACTTTCTTCATCTGTTCCTGCCATGCCCACCTCCACAGTGTGGCCTGAGTTAGAGAGCTTCCAAGTCATGGGACAGAATCCAACCTGTTCATCAGTCGAGAGTGGGTGTTCTCATCATCACAAAGCCAGACACATCCTCAGGCCCCCTCCCCACAGACCTCAGCAGGGCTCCCTCAGCATCTCCCTACCTCCCCACGGATCTCAGCAGGGCTCCCTCAGGCCCCCCTCCCCACGGACCTCAGCAGGGCTCCCTCAGCATCTCCCTCCCCACAGACCTCAGCAGGGCTCCCTCAGGCCCCCCTCCCCACAGACCTCAGCAGGGCTCTCTCAGCCCCCCTCCCCACGGACCTCAGCAGGGCTCTCTCAGCCTCTCCCTCCCCACAGACCTCAGCAGGGCTCCCTCAGGCCCCCCTCCCCACAGACCTCAGCAGGGCTCCTTGAACACAGTGCAGGGCACAGGCCCAGGGAATGAGCTGTCTGTGACAGGGGACAGAACAGTGAGTGTCCACAGTTGTTTCCCATTCGGGTGAGGCCGGACCTGGTGCAGAAGGAGGGTCTGACCCATGGTGGTGGGACTCAGGGAATAGGAAGCGTGTGGGGATGAAGACTAGATTTGGAAAAAAAGTCTCACTCAGAGTACAATTTTACAATCTGTTGCTATTTTGAACTCTGACTTTTTTTTTAAACTCAACACTTAAAGAAGGCTTGGCTTTAAAGACATGCATTCTGCTTTCTGATTCATCCTCTCTCGGCAGCCATATGTCTTCTGGTCCAAAAATGTCCACAGACTCCTGCAAAAGACTAAGAAATATAGAGGAGAGTTTTTCAATTGCACGACTTTGAATGTGGGACTCACTCTTCAGAACCAGGTAAAAAGAGCCCCAAGCATTTGTCCCCACAGACAGGATTTACCTGGATTCCCGTGTGTCTGCACCCACACACGGCTGGCTCTTAGGAAAGGTTAGATGGTAGCAGTCACTTGAGAGGCCAGGCACTGGGATCACGAGACACAGCTGGATCTAGGTTGTGTAGATGTAAGGTTCCACCCACCACAGCCTGCCTGAAAAGAAGATACCATCTTGCTGGAAGAGGGAAGGGGAGTCGCAACACTTTGTGTTTGCAAAGTGGCATCACCTGTGTGCTGGACAGTGACACGAGAGACAGAGGCAGAGGTTTGGATCAACGGACAGACTTGCTTCTGGATTCTACAGCCTGCCTGACAGCCCGGGCCGCATCGCCCGTCAGAAGCGGTCTCTAACATCCCCACCACACGGCTACAGTGGCGTACAGAAAACCAATTTAGGAAGAGTCCACGACCCCATTTCATGCTTTGCTGGGCTCTTCCCTACTGCAGAGCAGCGAGCACACAGCCATCCATCTCCCTTTGTGCTCCATACGGAGACAGCTGCTCCACAGAGTAACCTCACCCCCGGGACCCAGAGGGTCAGGGGCAAGAAAGAGCAGGGACCATCCAAGAGTGGTTGAGGCTGAGGTGACCAAGGTCAAGTCTCTCTCTCACCCCACAGTTGATGCCGGGGTCCATCAATCTGCGCCCATCTCTACCACTCACCATCGTGTGTGAGGAGGCAGAAAACTGCCTGGGATGTGGTGAGTTGCGGCAATGAAGGAAGCATCCTGACTTCAAAACTTGGCTCTTCTCTGTGAGATCTTGGATGTGTATGAAACCTCTCTTTGCCTCGGTTTTCATACATGTCTAATGGGTACAATAATAACCCATTAATATCGAAGCATTGCCATCAAGGCAAAGTGAGGTGGTACGGACACATCTGGGCACACCCCTGGAGGAAGAGTGCTCTGCCCATGCTACTGCATTTCCCTCCCCAGTCTAGATGTCTCTCTCCAGAATGGGCTTGCACAAAACCATGACTGAAAATGAATGTGAAAAATACAGTTGATGAGTGCTGCGTGACTGCCATCAGAGAATGTAAGGAGTGAGAATTTGGAGCTGGAGGGGTGGCTCAGTTAAGGGTACTGGTTGCTCTTGCTGAAGACCTAGGTTCGGTTTCCTAGGTGGCTCCCAACTGTCTGGGAGATACAAAGCCCTCTTCTGGCCTCCCTGAGCATTGCACGCATGTGGTGCACATACAGACATGCAGGTAAACACTCATAAAATAAAAATAGATATATCAACATGGGGGGGCACTGTTGTTGTTGTTTGTTTGTTTGTTTTTGGTTTTAGTTTTGATTTTTCAAGACAGGATTTCACTGTGTAGCTCTGGCTGTTCTGGAACTCACTCTGTAGGCCAGACTGGCCTTGAACTCACAGAGATCTGCCTGCCTCTGCCTCTGGAGTGCTGACATTAAAGGCGTGTGCCACTGCTACCGCCACCACCACCTCCCAGCACATAAATGTTTTTTAAAGAAAAGAAATAAGAGGCGAATCTGGCAAATTGTAATAAAGTAAAAAGTACCCAAATTTCAGAATCTACTAGATCTTTCCAGTAGGAATTTAGCAAAACACTTTTAAACATTCATAGTACTTATTAGCACAGGGAAGAGATTTTAAATCAAAAGGTATCCGTTGCATATCAACCACATGTCAGTCTAGAGAGAGCATCATAATTATTTGTAGATTAGTGCAATTTTCATGCCAAGTACTGTCAATAAGAATCGTTATTCTTTCTGATCCTTAAAGGTGGGTATGTTCTCCATTTTAAGAGGAAGAAATGGAGATGCAGAAGTTAAAGAAGTTGGCCAAGTTCACTCAGTCAAGAACTGATGGAGCGAGGACCTGTCTGGTGGCCATAGTAAAAATGGGAGCATTATTGCTGGGCGGTGGTGCACGCCTTTAATCCCAGCACTTGGGAGGCAGAGCCAGGCGGATCTCTGTGAGTTCGAGGCCAGTCTGGTCTACAAAGCGAGATCCAGGACAGGGACCAAAACTACACAGGGAAACCCTGTCTCAAAAAACCAAAACCAAAACCAAAACCAAAACCAAACCAAAAACAAAAACAAAAAACTGGGAGCATTAATCTAGCGCTTCCTTTGTTTCTTTGTTGAGACAGGGTCTCATGTAGCCCAGGCTGGCTATGTAGCCAAGGATGACCTTGAGTTTCTGAGTCTCCTGCCTCATCTCCCCAGTGCTAGAACTATAGACGTGAACCACCATGCCTGTTTCACTTGGTGCTCAGCATGGCAGCCAGGGCTGCGTACATGCTAGGCAAGCCTGAGCTACATCCTCAGCCCCGAGTACTCTCTGAGTGCCACGCAATGTGCTGCTCTCTGGTACCGAATCCCCCCAAGTGCCTGCCTTGAGGAGTTCTACCAGGGTCCAGAACAGGTGCCACAAGCGGCTGGGGATTCTAATCTGAGGGATGGTCAATGAATCTAAGCACACTGAGCTCGTTAGTCCATTCACTTTATTCTTCTAAATCAATTCTGTCTACACAGCTTCTTTTCTGTTCTCACACGTAGCTCCTCTCAGTCCCTCCTGCTGCTCTCTCATCTCTGTCTAGTTCTTTCCATCTCTGTCCTCATCTTTGTTCTTCTCCATAATTCCCCCCCAGTGCTGTGAGGAGACCAGTATATATACAAAAGCAGTAATTCTTTGGCTAAGCAATTCGGGTTGAAGTTTTCAGGGTCACAGAGAGAGGTGATAAGGAACCACACATAAAGCAATAAATGTCAGCTTCCAATTACAACCCAAAAGGGGAGTGACTAAAGGGGAGTTCTCTGGTAGGGTCAACTAAAGGCTAAGATCAATTAGGGAATCTAGTGATAGCCCCTGGCTGAGGAGGAATAAAATTTAATTTGCACAAGAAAAAAGCTTGGCACCTATCACCTGCCTGGCCTTGACAGCAATCTCCTTGGGTCAGTGGGAAGTAACTACCTTAACTCAGTAACTAGCAAGTGGCTAAAACATCATCCCAGGAATGTGAGCAGTAAGTCTCTTAAATTGGGGTCTTATGTAAACAACCCAGGGTGAAGGTAAGGTGAATTGTTAGTGGTTATTTTCTCTGTCTGAGAGTGAGATGAACTAATGTTTATCTATGTGCAATTTTGTCCTTGGAAAAAGGTGTCTTTGCTGATATGCATTTGTCCGGAGAAAGGCCCTGGCCAGATATATGTTAATGAAAACAAACAGATCTGGGAACAGTTATCCAGTTACCCCAAATGTATAGGGAAAGTTGTGCCCAAGATTGAGATGTAATCGTGAGATTACATGTACGCGTAACATGGAGACGCACGGTAAATGGGGAGAATCATGGCTGTTATTGCACAAGAAGTTTACAAGAGACAGCCAGTTCATTCCAAAGGCAGTAATTCCACAACGCCTTGCGTGATGGTTTCCTCTATCAGAACCCTTGGTTCTGATAGGTTGACCTTCTGAACTCTACTTGTCCCTGCTGTATACTCCATGGTCCTTGTCTACCAGTGTCTCTCAATACTCTTGCCATATTGCTTCATTTAAACTCCACACCAGTGCCAGGAACTATTGTTCTGTCCATTTCTGTATATGTGAAACAGATCTAAAATCTCACAGTCACCAAGAGGAAGAGTCAGGCATCACTGCAAGACAAGGGTAACCTGGAGCCCGGGGGACACAGTACTGTCAACATGGCCGTGATAGCACCCTGCTTGCAGAAAGCATTCTGGTTTCTTTCTCTGAACTACAAATTGTTATTCACAAACATTCCTTCCTAAAAAAAATGTACTTAATATTCTCCAGCGCTCACTGCTCTTAACCCTCTGGCAAACTACAAAGCCAAGGTCATGGGTAATGTCCCTAAGAACATGTGGCTGAACCAGGAATCAGAGGTATTAAGTTAGCTTGCATCCTGAAGGCATTTATCAGCAGAACATTGGCGTGATTTTGTTTGATCTAACACAAGACCTACAAGCATCCTGAGTGGAACCAGCTTCATGGTCAGTGCAGGTTCATCAATCACTTGCCAGCCTTTCCCTCGGGACTGTATGGACAACATCTGCCTTAGGGAAATCATGATCCTCCAACTACACTGTTCTAGAAGAACAGGTCAAACAGGAACCACCCAAAGCCAGTTTTCTCCCCACCCTCACCCAGACCTTCAGGTGGCAATCCCCCACCCCACTCCCAGCCTTTTATTTTTATAGATCAAATAGCTATGCTTCTGCAAGAATGGGTGGAGAGCAGAAGACATGTCTGTGGACATCACTCTGTGACGGAATAGTCTCACACTCCATAGGTATACTTCTATAGCAATTCATTAAAATTCAGGAAAGTGTGGACTGAAGCTTTTTCAGTCATATTAGCTGCAGAGCATGCACTCTGATGACATCTGTGAACAGCAAAGATCTAGAATATTCCACCACCCCCAGCAGGGCTTTGGGTGATGCTGATGTAGAAGATCCGGAAGGCCCGAGGCTTTCCTTCTGTGGCTGTTTGAGTTTGAGCCTCACCAGAAGCAGATTTGGGGAAAGGATTCAAGCGTGTGTAGTTTACTCAGGAGGTCTAAGGAGGAGGACACAAGGGTTGGGCAATGCAGAGAAATGCAAACGCGTAGAGTAGAATGCACGTCTTAGACTTACTCCACCCTAGAAAGGCAGCTGAGGTCAGGGTTGTTAATGCCCTAGTCCTTCTGATCTACCATGGGCAGAGATTTCAGAAGTTCATTTAAGGAATGGACAGAGAGGCAGAGACTGACCAGGGCATGCCCACAGTTCCCCTCCATACTTTCACTGTAGGATTTTGCCAAGGACATTATGTCCATGTCCATGATTTGATGCTGTTTTGTTGAGAGTAATTTTGCCCTTGAGATAAGAAAAACAGGGATGTCAGAGGAGGAGGCAGAAGAATTTGCTGAGAGAAAAGAAACTCAAGGATGCTTAGCAGGCTGATTTGATAAGGCACAGAGAACTGGTGATGTAACTCAGTGGTAGAGCCCAAGGTTCTGGGCTTAAAGCCTAGTACTGTAGAGCGAAGACCAGAAAGCCCCATGTGACAGGAATTTGTGGACTGATATTCTAGAAGAAAAAACCCACAACTGTGTTAAAGATTGTGCAAGGCTGACTGA